AGGATAGCTAAACCCTAGCGGAACGCTACAAAACCTGCCTCTTTTGGATTCCTCATTTTGACTTCTTTGTATACTTAGCTATTTGGGGTTAAGGTAGACTCTAAAACATCTTTCCAAAGTGCTCCACGTCCAAGATCGTGAGCTTCGCGTTGGATGACAGGTCCGGTAACTCACGCAATCCTGGGCTCTTGATAAGGAGTTTAACAGTTACCGAAACAGGGACCTGTGGTATATAAAAGGGCTTTCTTAAAAGAGAAACTTGACTCAAATTCCTCAACCCCTAAACCCTGTGACTGCTTCTAAACCCTATACCCTAACCCAAATTCCTTAACAATAACCCAGAATCGATTCTCTTTCGCATGAAGCTCCCTCAGATCAGCCAATGGGCTCAGCAAAGGGAGCTCCTTGAGAGTTACCATGGGTTAAACTCACAAGGCCTACTATTCGTATACTGTAATATATAAGTATATGCATACATTATTGTAATAAATTAGTATATATTGGTATATGGGTATATGGTGCTACAAAAACCCCTTCAGGGCTTCGGGTCTAACGGTTTAGCGGCTAAACTGTTTCGGGTTATTCGAGTTTCTAAGAAATTAAACCTTCATCTGGATCCTGCTTACAAGAAATGAAACGAAAAGCACCGCAGCAACTGCTTGAACATACCAACAAAAGGCCCCCAAACCTGTACGCCTAAACCTTAAACCCTAAAACAACAAAGGCGCCCAAACCTGAAACCCTAAACCCTAAACCCTATACTAACAAAAAAGGCCCCCGAACCTGAAAACCTAAACTGCAGATGCGCAAAATCACCCTCAGGGTTAGAATAGGCTGTGGAACAGCCCATTTGATTTCTTCGATTGCTTTATGGCTTAAGGGAGGGCTACGTCGATGCCCCTTGAGTCGCACGTGTGAAGCCAAACCTTTCAAGTTACCAGGTCAGCATTGTACACCCCGGAGCTGACAGACCGAAGGTTTGTGCGTTGGTGATAAAACAGAATCGACCGACATGTCAGCCGCCATGGAACCACCCTATGAACAACTGTCTGCACCCGCTATCCCAGCTGAAGATCATCAGGTTATGAGCCCAAGTACCGTGGTCGCAGCTGCCGCTACAGATCCTTCAGTGAATGGGGTAGTGGAGCTACAGCAGGACGGAGTAGGGGAAATGGAAAGTGGCGCTATGGGGTCGGAGGTTGCGGTCAGGACAATGACCGTGGCCATGGCCACGTCGTCTCCGGGTGGGCAACCTGGTTGGACGCAACAGGAAGCGGCGATGGTAGCACAAGCTGCTCAGGCGCGCGAGGCCTATGCAGAGGCTACGACAACAGGCTATGAAGGCTTCCAGAATGCGGCTCAGGCCTCGTGGTCAGTCACGTCTACGAGGAGGAGTGTTCCGGTTTGGATGCAAAGGTTAGGGGCGTTCTTTCAAGAGATGGGCGCCAGGCAGCAATCTGGTCCGTTGTGGACTCCTTCACCCATGGGAACGCCGCCTCCAGCGGGGCGCAGGGCCATGGGATCGCCAGAGACTGATCCAGGTCCTCGAGGTCGCTCTGAAGATGGAGGTCAGTCTATGCTATGGACGAGAGAGCAGCAAGAACAGCTGCGAAGAATGGAGCAGCGGGCGCCGTTGCTGTATGGAAGAGCCGCACCACAAGAAAGGCATGACGGGAGCTCTGGTGGGAGCACGTACGAAGCGGTTCAGGACGAGGTCCGGAAGCAGCTGAGAGGAGTGGTTGAGCAGCTGGAAGAGTCGAGGAGAGAAGCTGGTGACCTAAGAAGGGAAATGGAGAGACTGCAGAAAGAGAGGACGATGAAACCACCTGAGGGACCACCTGTGGAATATGGGGGGTATCTTGCAGGCCAAGTTCCGACGATGCCGAGCAGGTCGTCACCATCACCGGCACCACTCTTTCAAGCAGGAGCTTCTACGTCGGAGGCACCACCCTTTCAAGCAGGAGCCTCTACATCGACGGCACCACTCTTCCAAGCAGGAGCTTCTACATCGACGGTACCACTCTTCCAAGCAGGAGCTTCTACATCGACAGCACCACTCTTTCAAGCAAGAGCCTCTACCGCGACGGCACCACTTGTCCAAGCAGGATCTTCTATGACAACGATTCACGAAGCAGGATCTTCTACGTCGGAGGCACCACCTATGCAAGCAAGACCTTCTACCTCAGCCGGAGGAGAAGGTGAAGGAGGGCCGATGGATCCAATGAGCAGACTGCTTGAGGGCCTTGAAAGGGTCATCAAGGGAGCAAAGCCGGAGGAGGTGACGAAGGCCGCAGCGGAAATCCCCAAGCTGCCAGAGGTAACCGAGACCAGTGCAGTGGACTTTGGAGATTGGCTCTACTGTGTCGAGAATGTTATGGGAGATCTTAGTGCGACGTCGGCGGAGTGGTGGAGGCACATACTGGAGGATGCGACAGACTACTACAAAAGGTATCAAGAGGCGGACCAGTTCGGAAGGTTGGCTTTGAAACCTTCGCCCAGCGCTGAGACGACGGATACGAAGTGGGCAAGGGTCGACCGACGAGCTGCGGGAGCTCTTTTGAACGCCATGCCGGAGGAGATAAAGAAGGACTTGGTGGCATCGAGGTCGCGGTCTACGTTGGACATCTTGGCGCGGTTGATGGTGTTGTACCGCCCTGGAAGTGCCACGGAGAAGTCGATGCTGTTAAGAAAAGTGGAGTTCCCTGACCCAGCCGGGAATGCTCATGAAGCGGTTACGGGGCTGCGTCAATGGGCGAGGTTCTACCAGCGGGCGAAGGACCTAGGACTGGCGACCCCGGACTCCTCAATCCTTCTCAAGTCTCTTGAAGGGCTGGTGAAACGTCCGATGGCGGAGCATGGTGACATCACTTTTCGGATGAACCTCATGAGGTACCACCTTCGCGTCGACTTTGCTCCCACTGAAACGAGTGTCATGGCAATCCACCGGGCGTACCTGGCAGAGTTTGAGCAGCTGGGCTAGGTAGAGCCCCCGACCCTTGCG